GGGAAGGGGGGGAAATGGGGGAGGGCTTGATGCAGGTCCCAGCGGACAGGAGTCCGCAGCACAAAAAAAAAGCCACCGCCACAGGCTGTTGGGGGCGGGGGGTTGCCACCCTTGCTGGCAGTCTCAAAGAGGCCAAGGATTGAGCGGGCCATGGAGACTGAACTCCCCTCTCACCTCTTGAGGTGGTCCCTCCAGGTCAGAGTTGAGGCACATTGATGGGGCGGTGTGGGGGTAGCTTGCACTGCCGCTGCTGTACCTGTCCTGTGGATAAATTAGAGGACTTCAGTCTCCAGGGCTGTCAATCCCAAACCTTCCGCTAACACCCAAGGCACATAGACATCGCTCTGCTGTACAGGGCTGGCCCTGGGTCAACAGGACCCACCGGCAAGCACAGCACTGCCGCCAGCTCGCTGCCAAGGCAGCCCCAGCAGCCACATGGTGCTGGCTGCGGCATGGGGAAGGGAGAGGGCAGGGAGGGAGTATGTGGCCATGGATAAGCCTGCTCCTCACTGCTCTAGCCACTGGGCAGTCTACCTCACCCCAAGGGGTTAACCTCTGGTGACAGGCCTCTGCTTGGAAGCCAGCAATCACAGTGCTTCCTAGTCCCTTCCCCACAGGCCACTGCCCTAGCAAGGAGCTGTGTGACAAGCTGTCCAAGTCTGAGTGGGGGCAGGGGGCAGGGAGGGGGAGAGGGAAGGAGCGAGTGAGGCAAGGAACTAGAACAAGACAGATCTGTTCCAGACAAGGGGGAGAGAGTTGCGGGCTGAGGGAACAGCAGGCCGGGCCAAGATGCACAGCCTAGTCACCTCTTGCTCTGGGCAGTTCTTCCTTAGACCCATTCAGCAGCTGCTACTATCTCCCTGGTTTGGCTAGGGCTTGCCAGAATTCTCTAATCTCATGGCACTGCTATGTCCCAGCTCCCACTGAGTGAAGAGGCCCATGGCATCATGGTAGTGTCTTAACAGCTATGGGCTGTGATCCTGTCCCCAAAGTCAGCAACAAGGTAGGGCCCAGAGGCAAGCAGCCTAGTTCTGCAAGGGTTATGACCTGTGGCAAGGAATGCCAGGGGCTCCCCAAGCCACCTCCTGGCTAGGGCTCTATGGGGTTTGTCCTGCATGGAGCTACGTGGGTGGCATCCCTGCTAGGTAAGAGCTGCTTGCCCAGAACCACTCAGCATGACAGACATCACAGGAGTCAGACCAGCTGAGGCTGCAGTCCTGTACCTGTAACCAGCAAGAGACCCCATTTCATGGCTATGGAGAACCTGGCTATACTGTTCTATGACATCACCTGTCCTGCCTTGGGGATGCTAGGAGGTGGCACTGCACTACTCCATGTTCACACATGTCAGTTTGGTCCAGAAGCCACTAGAGCCCTAGGGGGCTGGGGCCTTCCCCACTCAAAGCCCAGCCCTTCGGAGTCCGAGCTCTCCCCTGCAGTCCCACCAGCTGTACCTACAACCCCCTGGCTGCTGTGGGGAAACAGGCACCGACTATCCAGCTTGCCACTCCACAAGCACCCTACCCAGACAGCCTACATGGGCCCTGCAGAAGGTGCCCCTCTGCACTCAACACCTTGTGAAGGGGTCCTCCTCCTCCCCCAACAACAACTAGCCTCACATGACCTCTCCCCCACCCTCTGCAATCCGCTTTCAGCACCTACTGGAAGTGAAGAATCTGCTGCATGTTTGGAGCAGCCTCCGGCCAAACTGACCAAAGCAGCGGAGGGAGCTCTATGCTGGCTGGGCAGGCAGCACAGGTGACAGGCATGCACGGTGGGCTGATGTGTGCTGGCGGTGTTGCCTCCTTACCCCCCACCCTGCCCCGTGCCTGGCAAGCAAAGGAGCAGCCTTACCTGCCCGCCTGCAAAGATGACTGGAGAGCTGGATGGCTTGGGTCGGTAGGGGATGGTGACACCCTTCGGGGGAGACTGCAGTACGGGAGCCAGAGAAGAGAGAAATTAGATGCCAGAGCCTGGAAGTCCTTCACCACAAAAGGACACATTCACTAGTGGCTCTACAGGCCACAGTGAGGCTTCTCTCCCAGCCAGCTCTCTAAAAGAGCTATAAAAATAGATGCCAACAGGCTCAGGCAGCTAAGACTGCACGCTAACATTTCAAGAGCTGCAAAGGGCAAATCAGCTTCTCCGCCTTCCAGGCACTGTGCCCAAAGTGCGCCACACGCTTGAAAGGGGAACAGGGAGCTGGCAGGGGTATCGCATGCCAAGATGGGCATGGGTCCGAGGACACTTCTTGGAGGATACTGGAGGCCTACGAAGTAGAGCCAGATTTGGAGTAGGAGGAGGTGCTACTGCCTGGCAACCAGGCTTTTCCAGTCTTGATCTAAATCTTCCAGGTTAACCCCAAACCAACCTCCTTCCAGGCCCCTCCACCCCCTATAAGGCCTTGGGCTCTATCTTGATCCAGTTCCTCACAGGCTCGGCCCAAGGCAGAGGTTTCTACACTGGAAGACAGCTGGCTGCAGAGTCCAGCACAACAGGAATGGCACCTGCTTCTCCTCACTAGGCTCAAGTGGGTTTTGTCACTTTGGGAGCTGACCTATACCTACTTGCCCACCCCCCGCCCAGAGTTAGCAGGGAGCTTACCTCCAGCATGACCACGCAGATCTGCTTGACACACTCAATGATGGACTGGGGTATCCCGGCAATAGTGATGGCTCTCTCAGTTGAATTGGGCAGCATGTCTCCTGCCACCTGGACCTGCGCCCCCGTGCTCTTAAAGTTTAGGAGTAAAAATAGCACATCAGGCATGCCAGGCAGGATGACTACAGCCTCTGTTCTAAGTGGCAGGTTCTGCTCTGCACTCCTGCCCCCATCACAGCCTCAAAAGAAAAAAAAATAAAGATAAAGATGCCTAATCCCAGGTGGAAGTAAGTTTGGTCATTGGGAACCCAGGGCCAGAAAAAGCAGGACCTAGATTTCAGCTTTCCTTCCAACACAAGAGAATCTCCACAGAGCAAAACCACACAGCATGTGGAGTTAATCTGCCAGGAGCCATGGGACAGCCATGGTGCATGCCTTTCTACAGAGTGCCTTGCAAACCTTAATCCTCACATTCCTGCATCCCCACCCCTGGGGAAAGAGGAAGGCAGGGGTTGGGTTTCATTACCTCCAGGCACTCAAGCAAGTGACAGATCCAGGAGGTGGAACCCAGGAGTCCCAACCACTCGCACCAGTCCAGCTGAGGGGACTGGGGGGAGAAAGTCATGGACAGTGCCTGACTACACCATGCCTGGCTCCAGACATAGCCCCCATCTCAGTTTCACAAGCACTAAAAATACAAGCTGCTTTCTTAAAAAGCAGCATGATGCCACAGCTCCGCTATGCTTCCTCCAACCCTTGGTGCTGCAGCTGGGGAAGGGCAGAGGCCTGCTCTGCTGCTGTTCAACTGCAGTAGCTGCTTGCCCTCTCCCGGGAAACAACACCCAACCCCCCACCCCATCACAGACCTCTCTTATCTCTTTGATCTTGCAACCTCCTTTTCCGATGAGGGAGCCACATTGGCTGGCAGGTACCACAAGCCGCAGGGTGACTGGGGGCCTGCTTGCAGCTGTGCTGTTGGTCATGGAGCTGCTGATGTCCTGCAACAAGAGGCAGCATTCAGGAGAAGCCCCTGGGAACAGCCCACCTACTACAGCCAGAGCCCAGCAGTGAGACACAGGACAAGGCTCTTTGTATGGCCCAGAGCATTTTGGGAATAAAACATAGGAGTTACGTTACAGCACTGAGGACAGAAAGGTGTTTTTCCCCTCCGTGCCAACAGGGGTATGGTTCCCCAAAGCTGATGGATCTCTACCAGAAACATGGGGATCCCAACCAGTCACATGGGGCACTGCTTCAGATGGATTAACTACTGCAGGAATCATCCTGGCTTTCTTACTTTGCTCTGCCTGAGGCAATACCTGGCACAGAGGCCACTGCCAGCAGTAGCTGCCTTCCAAGATGGCAGAGCCACCCTGCCACTGCTAGACTGTCCTGTCACAAGCTCCCAGCTGGGAACACCATCCTCCAGGGTCATAGAGAGGTACGTGCAGGGGCTGCTGCTAGCTATAACTAGCTGGATTCATGGAATCATAGAGAAGTTGGGCTGAAAGGGACATCCTGAGGTCAATGTTTAAGTCCAACCCCCTGCCAAAGGCAGGATTCAGGCAGGCTGCAATCAACTCTCAGCTGTCTGTAGCTGGCAGGGTATTTACTGCTTTGAGTAAAACAGGAATACAATAGCATGTGCCTGAACAGTTAAGGAGGGAATTAATCCATGCAGATACAGATTTAAATTTCATCAGGAAGCCAGTCACTGGTAAGAGGAAAAAAGTCAAGACCACAGTCCATTCCCAGGACCACAGCTATTCTGGATGGAAGCTATATGTGGGGGAGGGGAGCTGCAGCAGAGACCACGGCTCAATCCCCATGGGCTGAAATCTAAAGCTAACTCCAGGTTCACAGTGACAGGATAATGCTTGGCTCTGTTTGCGCACCCTAGATGCTGGGCTGAGGACAGTCCTGTGGTTTGCTCTTTTCTTGAAGAACGCAACCGCCTGAGGCTTCCCATGAGCTACATTTGACAGTCCAAGAAACTGCTCGGGAGCTCCCACATCAGTAGAGCTTCGCAGGCCCATGCCAGCAAGCCCTGGATGCCTGCACTCCTCAAGGGCAGAGCTAGTCCAGTCACAGGGGCAACCGGCTCAGGTTACCAGCACCCTCCTCCCCCACCAACCCACTAATGGCTCCAAGCTCAGGCATCGATCCTAAGCTTAAGCTACACTGAGAGTCCGCCTAGCTTTGGCAAAGCTGCCACAGACCAGGGTGTGGTGCTCGCTCCCCTCCAGCAGCCCTCTTGTCTTGCTGGAGGGTGCCTATTCCCTCCATTCAGCTAAGGCCCAGCAAAGCCTTTTGCCTCAAGGCTCAAGCCAAGTGCAGGATGCCAGGAAGTGATCTCGCTTCCTTGCAGGACTGCCTGGCACAGTAGGTGTGGGGCTGTAGGTGGCCGAATTAAGTTGGAGCCATTGGTCATTCATCCCCGCAACAGTGGATTCCAGCAAAGCTTCACACTCGTCAGTCCCAGAAGGCTGTTCTGATGCCAGTTACCCAAGAAGCCTCTAGCTCAGGCACCCATCAGTCAACATGAGGCCAAGGAGGGAATAAATGCAGAATTAGGGGCCAATGCAGCCCACCCAGCTGCAGGGTCTGTAGCCCAGGACTGAATTAGGGGATTGATTCAGCATGGTCCCTCTGTTGCACAGGCCAGACAAGAGCTCACCCTTCTTCCCCCTGGCACAAACAGTGCCCAACAGATAAAGCCAACTCTGTGCCCTTCCAGGCAGGCACTCATTTCCACTGCCCCATAAAGGCAGCAGGCAGGCAGGCAGCAAAGCCGAAGTGTGTTCTTACCCCTTGTTTCCCAACATGCCCCTCACTCCAGCAACTGTGGTATCTGATGAAGTCACAAACTAGCTTGTGACATCAAGGGGTAGGTATCCCCAGCCATGTGGCAGTCAGCCTGTGGTACAGGCAGCTTCAGCATGGCACAGGGCAGGGCAAGTAGAGGAAGGAGCAGACAACAGAGCAGCAAATCAGGTAAGGAAAAGAAATCTGAGTAGCATTTGAGGACAGTGCAGGGGCCAATGTGTGGCATGCCTGCTAAAGAGACTGCCCCCTTCTCTACAGCATGGGGGCCCACAAGTATGGTGCAGAGGCAGCAGTTCTGGCAGGGTGCCAGTCCCTAAAGGGTTAATGCCGCCTGGTCGGCAGCACTGTCTGTACAGCACACAGCAGCCCCAGTTCCAGAGCCTGCCCGGGAAGGGGCCACACACCTCTTCCAGTTTGTCAATGATCATTGCAAACGCTTTGAAGATGGCGTTGGTGGGGCCAGCAAGAGTGATGATCCTCTCTGGGCAGTTCCCTTCTGAGATGTTGATGCGAGCGCCACTCTGAAGGAGGAAAGGACGGAAACGTGAGCAGCCGGGCGGGTGGACAGCATTAGTCCCGATCAAACCAACAGGGTCTCTGGATAATGTTACAGTGCAATCAAGGGTTTCACTGTGTGAAGTATTCAACACTGGAGAGCCACCAGGCCTGACTGCAATACATACAAACAAGCCATTTCATGCTGCAAAGTCCACCCCTCCCTGCAGTTCTGCTCTGGGCTGGGAGCAGCCATCTTAGTTTCCATCTGCCAGATCAGCTCTGAGATTGGCCAGGAAGAACTACATTTCCCAGCATGCCTTGCGGCCCACAATGAGCTTGTTTGTTTCCAACCCAACCGCAGTCAGCAAAATCCTGGAGTTCAGAACTCCTTCTAGGGCCCCTAAGTTTTGCTTCTTTTCTGCTGTAACTCGATTTAGGGAGCATCTTAACCCAAATTATGGTCACTTGCTGCCCAGAACCTACCTCTTCACGCATCTTCTTTACAGATTCTCCTTTCTATGTGGAGAAAGAAAGGGATTATTACAGCACTGCCGATTCACAGGGGTTCCAAAGAAAGGAGGAGAACAGGGAGTTACCTAGTCACTCACCTTCCCAATGATGCTTCCAACCTCCTGGAAGGCAAACAAGAAGCACTGGTTAGTGGTTTACAGAGATAAGAGCAAACTGGCAACACTGGTTTCTTCCTTTGCCAAGAAGGAAGTTATCCACCATCTCATTCCACGTGAACCTCAATTAGTAAAATGCTGACAGTTCCACAGTTCTCGTATCCAGACACCAGCTCACAATGACTACCAGAGTACGGAGGAGTCAAAGCAAATTCAAAAGCAGCGGTACACATTGTACTGGGAAGGAAGTGATTTTCTAGTTCATCTTTTCTCCCCCACCCCCCCCCCCCCCCCCCCACCTCTTCTAATTTTTAATGCAT